TCACCACTGTCTTCAGGGTGGGAGAGTGTCCTTACGGCAGGAAGAGATGGAGTTGAAATTAAGGAAGAGATGGAGTTCTGCCTAAAGATGAAGCAAGTGGAAGTGGAATTGGAAATGAAACGCTTAGAAAAGGAAATAGAGGTGAGGTGAGCAGAAGCCTTAAATCATCTTCGGTACTGAATGACTGGAAGACAGATAACATGATGCTAATATTTAAAAATTGTCAAACACATGGATGAATATAATTTGTTGGGGGAAATCAACATGGTTTCTGTAAAGGGAAATCATGCCTTACTAATCTGCTAGAGTTCTTTGAGGGGGTCAAACAAACATGTGGACAAGGGGGATCCAGTGGATATAGTATACTTAGATTTCCTAAAAGCCCTTGACAAAGGCTCATAAATAAAATAAAGTAAATTGCCATGGGATAAGAGGGGAGGTCCTTTCATGGATAGATAACTGGGCGGTTGCCAGGCAACATGGTAGTAGTGGCTGGCAGGCACAAGCCTTTTAAATTACTGCTGTTTAAAGGGTTTGAAGCTCCTGGCCCCATCACTAATACATTGCCTTGCAGCTGGTTGGAGCCACAAGCCGGGAACCCTTTAATAGTAGCAATTGAAAAGGCATCAGGTCCTGCCCCTTCCATTGTCTGGAACTCAGGGGGCAGGAACCCTAAGCCAAGCAAAGCTCAGAATAGGTGAGCTCCCAATCCCACCCCTTCCATCCAAGGCTCCACCCCTTCCGGGGTGGCCCACGACCACTTCCGAAATTTTTGAAGTGACCCCTCTGCAAAAATTATTGCCCACCCCTAATTCAGGAGGAGAAACTCCGAGGTGGCATACTTAATGGGCCAGGAGCAACAGCACAAAAGAAACAGTTAGGCTACATGGTTAAGCTACATCTGTGCACTTATAAAAATCTGTCCTCTTAGTTAGGCATTATCATTCCCCAAAGCCCATCTGTCTAACTGGCATTGCAAGGTGCAGGTATATGAGGTCTAGAGCTGTGACATTTTAACAAAGCATTTAATGTATCGCTAACAAGAGAACCTGTTTTCACAGATATGCATATGTGCAACCATGCTCTCCTTCCTCCAGCTCCTTCCCAATTTTTGCTACTTTCTTGTTTTGAAAATAATATTGCTTCTATTAAAAGATCTGAGCTACATTTCAACTGAAGTAAGTAAACAGCAATTCAGTTTGTCTGTTTTTTGTTTCAGCTGCACCAGACTAACATGGTTACATTTTTACCATTATTCTAGCAAAAACTTCATAACAGTAACTTTTTGTTTTTTTCCCCCTCTCTCCTACAGAGTGCCCTCTAGTGTCCTGAGGTCTTCATTGCATTTACTCACTGAACCTCGCTATTGATTTAATCTTTAATAATAATGCCAATAATTACTTAACTTACATGGTTTACCTCTTCCAAGTGCAATACAACAAACTAAGTAATCCCAATACCACACAAATGAAATAGGGAAGTTGTTCGAGTCAACTGGATGCCCGTCCCTCTGTTTGCTTATTGAGCCACATTGCCTTTTGCAAAATGTTTATTGCAAAAAGGTGACTTTTTATTTATCCAAAAGCCTTTCATTTGAGGTGCCATTAGAAATTAAGATGTCTTTTTCTTTTTATTACACTAACAACTTTAACATGACCTATTTATAAGCAGCATTTACTAAACAAGCAGCATTTACTAAACATGGCTCTCAAACTCTCAGCTTCCTGCCACCCTATCACCTTTTTCTTTAATAGCAACCTTTACAACTTGCTTAAGTCAACTATTGAGTTATACACATTTCAATTGAAAATGTGATTCAAATTCTGTATTACTGAATTTTGTTTTAGGTAAAAGATCCCTATAAACCTACACAAATATCACTAAGAACACGGCAGCAATACGTTAATGATTTAGTATTTGGTGTTTAACAAAGAATAAAATAAATGACGAGAGGGTCCACCAAAAGTTATTCATAGGATTGATTATTTCTAATGTTTTCTTTAAATGCATGAATTGTTGTCACTACAATTACAAGATCATCAAATTCTCATTTTGTTCATCAGTCTTCGTGGCAGTTTGTTTCACACCCACGCATGTTCTCTTCTAATTCAGTTCAGTAGCTAATGAATAACTCCCACTAACAAAAGAGCTTTTCATTCCATGCTCACGTAATTATTAGAGGAGAGTTGCGTAAATGTCACTGAAGACAGTGTTTGCAGGCCTGTCTCTAAATTTGGTTATTCACCACCTTTTCAGCTCAATATTATTGCTTAACTGTGATCATTTTCTAATTACCTTAATAATGCCAATTAAATCACTTGAGCTACATAAGTACAGGCCTACTTAAATACAACTTAACCTAATAAGCACTGGTCATTCATTAAACAATAATGCACATTTTTTAAAGGATGAATGGAATATTATCTGACTGAATCCTCCAACATCACAAAAGTTATTACAAGCAATTTAGCATTAACATTTTGATACCTAATTTGGAGATTTTCAGCCTGAAATGTTCCACAATAAGAATTATTCAAATACAATAGCCCTGACCCCTTTTCTTATCTGTCTGCATCTGTAGCTGGCCACCCACATGAAAACAATCAACAGGGGAGAAAATAGCACTCAAACCTTAATGAAAGGAATTAAATTACTAAGGATGAGGAAGGGAATGAGGTGCATCAATCTCTTAGCAGATGAGCTTTCTTTAGAAAATGAGATTGTCAAAGTAATGGAAACAAGATGTGGCTGGACCATCCATCCTGGTTTTCTGCATTTATCCCAATTTCTCTATAGTTGGAAAAGTTTTCATCCTCCATATTTTCAGAGACCTAGACTCCTAGGTAACCAAGGGTATGTCTACACTACAGCTACTCAGCAATGGCACCGAAGGGCAGACACTTCTTACGCTGGCAAGGCAGGGCCATCTTTACTCACACACCAAATACACAGTTGTGTAGAGCACCTGAACATATGGGGCACCACTGGGTCTGAATGTCCACACAGCTGCCTCTTCTTATCCCTGTTCTGTGGCTTTGCTTTATCCTGGAGAAGATCCACTTTACTTAAAAGTGACAAAGCTTGCCAGACCCATTAGCAGACTCTGAACCTGTGAAAGCTATTTAAGTGGTAATGAAGCTGTTGAACAGGCATTTGCCAACCCCAGCTATATGCTGCCAGTTTCTGAATTTACTGTACTAAATCTACAGGACTTTAGTTTAAAGTTTGCTTTAAAAATATTTCATTAGCATGTTGCTGAAGATTATAAAATCATATCTCTAAAAAATTGTCATCCCCTCACCTGGCATCAGACATTAGGGAACCAGTTTAATAATACTGCATAAGGCCAAATGAGCCCTAAGGAGGTTCTGCTGGCAGGAAGGCGGGGGTGGGGGTGGTTCTATCAATGTAGCTAATCCATCTCTCTGACAGGAGGCAGCAAGATGACAGAAGAAACCTTCGTTTGACTCTGCTATATCTGAATGCATGAGGTGGAGAGAGATAGGTTTACCCAACTAGACCACACAAGGGGCAAATTTTTTCACGTCTCTGCATGACGAGGCTAGGACAATCTAATTTTTAAGTGCAGACTAGGCCTAACACTACCGATTTTTTGAGGAGTCTCCTTCCCAAAAGGCAAAAAGATGGGTGTCAGTGGTCAGCACTCAGCATTGGGCCCAGTATGATTTTGCTGATATTATGCTGATTTGTAATATAGCACTAAAAAAAAAGTATATGGCTACTTTACCACACTATGCAATCAAGCATTAAAACAACATTTTCCAAGTTTTGGATGTTGGATCAAAAAACGTAACTCCCAGGAACAACATCACACTAAGTAATTTAGGAGTTTTTAACAAGGCAGATTATAAAAAGCAGATTTGGCTTTCAGACAGTCCTTTACATCTAAAATAACTTTTGATCCTCCTCAGAAGACAGATTGCACCCAGGCAGCCATTTATGTTCTTATTTTATTTTTAAAAAACCCTTACCGTTCGAGTGGATCTTTACATTTCATCGCTTAGAAAAGGTTGATATCAAACTGTGCTGAGCACCAAAGCTGTTATGAGAAGAGCTGCATCTCAGAGAGGCACCATACCTCCTCTTCTCCCTGCTTCGTGGGGAAATCATGGAACCCTTTTCTGAGGGGAAGCTCACTCCCCCCTTGCCCTCAGCTAATCACACTGGGGATCCAGCATTATGGCTCTACTAACTCTGCACTTCTCCCATACGCTGTCCACTTTCTCTTTCTCCTCCCTGTCCAACAGCTCATGTGGCAGAAGGGAGAGACAGCACGTCAGACATGGTCAAGGAGACCAGACTAAATGATTTAATGATTCCTTCTGGCCTTAAAAAAAAAAAAAAAATCTATGAATCTATCCTGCCTCACCCTTCCATGCATGAACTGTAATGTGAACATTTCTTATGTAGACATGTAGAGATGTTACCCCATTTCACTCCCCTCCACAGCTGGCTTAGGGCTAATTAAAACCTAACCTTTCAATGCAACAGAGCAAAATCCCCATTATCTCCTGTTCATAAGAAAACAGCATTTCATAGTTTAGGTGTGTCTCACTATGCACTGCCCATTTACATAGCTTGTTTGCATTACTGCCATGGTTCAGTCACTGCCTACTATCATATTATTGACTTTTCACACTCAGAGAGATGTTGTTAAGGACCTTGTTACTAAGCATAGGTTGCTGGCTTAGTAACTGAGTTGCTGGACTTGGAAACATCACTGATTCTGTAGTGAAGATGAAATCATCCTAGGATTTTAAAACAATAAGAGCGAAGTAGATTCAGCTTCAAGTTCCAATAATCACACGTTCACAACTGATAACATCTAAAACTGTTTGTCACCTGGAGAAAATAGGTCTTTTTTTCTCTGTATTATTTCAGGGGAAATTTTCCAATCCTCTGTACTTTTAAGACAGTTGTAAAACCTGCTCTACTTTTAAAGAAACATAGAATTATCACAAATTTGCTACCCCATTTACCTGATTCTCCTCGCAGTTCTCTTTCCAGTTTAACACCATTTATTTCCAAGGCCCTCTGTCTTTCCTCCACTTCTTCCAGTTGGCGCTGTATGGCCTGCAAAATTACAATGACATACAATTCAAAGATACAGTTTTAAAATGCAAAGATGAAGGACAGTTCAGTGGTTATAGCCCTGGGAATTGGAAACCCACATTCAGGTCTCTGCACTGTTGAAGTTTTCCAGTCTGATCATTTTGGGCTAATTTTTAATTAATATGTAACGCACTTTTAAAAATTCCTGCTAGATGACCACCTGCAGTTTTAAGTGCCTAGACATTTTACCACTCCAGCTGCTCCTAGTGTCCCTGTGCACCAGTTGCCTGTCTGTAAAATGGCAACAGCAGCACTTCCCTACTTCACAGCGCAGTTGAAGGTGAATATATTGACAACTGTGAGCACTCAGACACCATGGTAATGGGAGCCACATTAGTATCGAAAACAGTTTGAAACGTTTGCCTGCTATTTTGAATTGAATGGGACAGCTCCTTCTCATACAACCTTTTAATATGGAAATGAGTCTATAGCTCCATAATTCCCATGAATAGGCACTACATTGGTAACCCTCATATGAACTGAGTTGACCATATCCTCTAAGCATGTCTATGTGGTAGGTGAACCATTTTCAAAGCATCTATTGATTCTGGAGGCCCAACCTGAGACACCTTTAAAAGGTTAGGTGCCAAGTATTTTCTTAAATTCAGGCCCTATGTGTCCAAAGCTGGCATCCAAAAATCAGGGGTCACTTTTATCGTATAGCCATAAAGAAAGGAAAAAGGCTTACAGTGCCCCCCCCCCATTTTGTTTACTTTCATTTTTTGCTATTGATAGATTTTAATTGAGATTTTTATATTATTTCAGTTTTACAAAAAATGCATTAAGCACATGTAGATTTTTCTCTTTTGGAGCTGCTTCTATTATATCATTGATTTGTCAGTAATGATTAATCTAATATTTGCTAAAATATAAAGAAAAATGTAGAGAAAAATGTAATAGGTTCAACTGCAAAATAACTATTTGTTTAAAATATATCAGAAGAGACTCATTTAAAAATTCCAGAGATTTCAATTTCACTTCTCCATATATAGTGCATGTATTAATTTGGGGGGGGGATACATATTTACTCTTTGTATTACTATAATACAGTGGTCACCAACCAGTAGACTGGGATCTACTGGTAGATCTTGGAGCCTTTGACAGATAATCCTGAGTGGTTTGGCCAGGAGACTGTCAAGTGCTGGCACTTCATCTGCCTCTCTAAGCACTGCTGTGTTGCCCTCTGCCTTGGAGCTGCCCTCCCCCGCTAGGAGCCTCTTGTTTGTGTAACCGCCACCAGGCAGATTTGAAGCTGGGACCTCCAGAGTTTTGCATAGGAGCCTCTATCCTTTGAGCTAAAAACCAGCTAGTGCCCAACCCATGCTGCAGATGTCTCTTGGTCTTATCTGTTGCTGTGGTCTAGGTGCCACTGTATGGGACAGTGATCCACACTAGAGCTACGTCTACACTATGAGTTTTCTCAGCAAAAAATATGCTAATGAGAGACTCATTTGCATGAGTTGCAATCTAATTTGCATATTTTCTCCTGATCAGTTTTTGCTCTGGAGTTTTTGTGCAAAAACAAGCAGTGTGGACGTTTTCTTTTTGCGCAAAACCCCCTTTTTCCGCAAGATCGGTATACCAAATGGATCGGCAGAAAATATGCAAATGAGTCCCTCATTAGCATGTTTTTTGCTGAGAAAACTCATGATGTAGATGGAGCCTAGGTATGTGGGTTACATACTTCCCCTAGGTGACAAAGTACATCCCAAGCTTCAGAGACCCAGTTGAGATCGCAGATGAGCCTCCACTTGTAACCACCACTGGCTGTATTTGAACGTGGGACCTCTGGAGCTTAGTATAAGACCCTCTACCCATTGAGCTAAAAGCCAACTAGCTCTCAGCCCATGCTGTAGAGGTATCTTGGTCTTATCTGTTGCTGTTGTCTAGGTGCATGGGACAATGAACCACACTAGGGCTATGTCTACACTGCACTGTAAACTTGAAATAAGTTACGCAATTTGTGCTACATAAATTGTGTAGCTTATTTTAAGTTTATTTCGAAATAGGCTATTTTGAAATTTGATACTGTCTACACAGCACCAAATTTCAAAATATAGTGTGATTTTGAGACATCCCTTAACCCTCATGGAATGAGAGTTACCGGGATGATAAAATAGCGTGCCTGTTATTTTGAAAAATATTTTGAAATAGCAGGGTAGCTAGTGCACCTCTGGTATCCCAAAATAACTTTGATGTGTAGCCATACCCTAGGTGTGTGGGTTATACTTGCTGTGCAGGGCACAGGAAGACGAGGTGGGGATGCTGATGTCATGGTGCTCCTCCCCCCCACCCTGTACCCCATCTCCACAGAGCAGAGGGGGGCAAGGATGGAGAGAGTTTGCTGGTTGATTTTGGGAGTGGTGCAGGGCCAGAGTAGGGGTGAACCTGCCTTAGTCCCCTGCACCACCACCCAGAAGCCACCTGTGGTAAGAGGTGCCCAGCTGGAGTCTGCATTCCAAACCCTGGCCCTAGTCCTGACCCCCTTCTGCACCAAAAACCTCTGCCCTAGCCCTGAGTCCCCATGCACCCAAATGTCTTCCCAGAGCCTGCACCCTAAACCCCCTCCTGCACCTCAACTCCCTGCCCCAGGCTCAGCTCAGAGCCCCTCCCACACTCCAAATCCTTTAGCCCAAGATCAGAGTCTGCATCCCCTGCACCCCAAACCTCTGCCTCCAGCCTGATAAAAGTGAATGAGGATGGGGGAGGGAGAGAGGATGGAGTGAGCAGTGGCAGGGCCTTGGAGAAGGGGTGGGAAGGGGGTGGGTCAAGGGTGTTTGGGTTTGAGGTGGATCCTGGATTGCACTTAAATTCAAAAAGTGATCTCATGCTTTAAAAGGTTGGCAGCCACTACTGTACTACCTAAAAGGCAAAATGGGAGCTGATCTCTTTTTGAAAATCTAACCTGTAATAAACTTCAACAGTGCAAATTCAGACTGAGAATGCAACTTCTATGTACATGTGTTAAAGGAGTTAACTATGGCTTGTCGTTTGGGTATTTGGAAATCAAATACCATTTGAGATAAACTTATGGAGAAGTGTGCTCACAAGACATTGTACAATGGATACGTGTGCAACTGTATGAGTCACCATCGGCAGAATCTAGAGCTCTTTGTGCTATACCTGGGACAAGAGACTTTGCAGAGGGCCATCTCATTCACAACTAGCAAAGGAAGAATAATTATTCCCATTATACAGCTGGGTGAACTGAGGAACAGAAAAAAATCATTTGTTCTTCCTAATCCTCTCTAAGGTACAGTAACAGGATAGTATCTCTTTTTTATCCTTTCTAAATGAGCAATTTAGTTTTTGTTTCAATTTCACGGAATCTTTGCAATCTCTCTATTCCACTGTATTCTTGAGTTAGGTGCTCATTCCCGCCACCAGTTATTGCATCTTTTGCCCTTCATATGACAAGAAAAATAGTAGGAAGACCCTATATGGGCACAATTGAGTTCCAAATAAATCATCTTTGCTAACTATAGATAAACAAATAAGCAAGATTAGCTGCATATAATCCTGCTGCTCTGACTGCTTTCGGAGAGCATTTGAAACATCACTAAAGGGCTCACAAAGTATTGCAAAGGACAAATATTCACACACTATACACTACAGTCCTGTCTCTCATCACCATCCTTTCTCCCCCACCTACCAAATACTCCGAAGTGTGACACACAGTTTTACTTTGTCACCTGTGCTTTATGGAGTCTTTTCAGCTCCTCTTGTTTAGCCAGTTGCTTTGTTTCCTTTTCTAGTTTTCTCCTTTTAAGGGTCCTTTTTGCCTACAAGAGTAAGGGGAGAAAAGAAGGTAATCAATATCCATGTACTTAGTTATCTTAACATTTCATAGAGTTTTGCCTGCTGCAAATGTTAAGTAGTTTTTGATTCACTCAGCTAGGTTTACTTTCAGCCATTAAGACATTATCAGTAAGATCCTCGCTGCATCCCTAGTTAAACATTAGCTATTTCTGTCAGTGAAGGGAAAAGGGAAAACTGAATCAATAGAGCTACACAACTAGACACCTATGGCCACAAGAGCTTCTGTGGGCATCATGGTTACCAGAGAACAGATCAAATACATAAAGTATCAGCTTCCCATGGAAAATGTGACCGATTTTTTATTGTATTTGCCACTCACTTAATACTCAGCTCATTTGTGTGAATAATAGTATATTTGTTAACATTTTATATTATATGTAAAAATATGCTTTCAAAAAGTATTGGGCTTGATCCCTCACTGGCATGGCTCTACAATGGAGCTATGCTAATTTACAACAGAAAAGGGTCTGTCCCATTTTTCAGTAATTAACTCTGATGTCAGTCATGTGATACAATAGCAGTTCGTTTTGGGCTGCTTGCAACCTCACATGACTGATGTAGTTTGAAGCAGTGCAACAAACACATTAGCATCTGAAACCTGATAAAGGTTTGTCTTCTCCAAAAGCAGTTTAATTATTGTCATTGCCATTATTGCCTTTTCTTTTCTTGTCTGTCCCCCTTTCTCTCCAACACCCTTTGTTTTGCAAGTTACAGAGATGTTGCAATGGAAACATTTTTATGGGCACAAATCAATGAACACTGCAATACCTTCCAAGAAGTACAACGGAGCAATTTTGAAAGGGTTCATATAGGGGAGTGGCATGCGCTGTCTAATCTTGATCCTCATTTATACTATCTGAAAATATTTTAAAACCAGTCATGATTTCCCACTCAAGAAAACAGAAAGGAAATAAAAATAAGACGACGAGAAAATAAAAGTCTAGAAGCCTGTTCTCTCAGAATGTCACATTTCAGTTTCTCTTCAGTTTTGTCAGTGGAGAATGGCAACATCTATCAGGTGGCAAGCAAAACTGGTATGTAAACTCTTACTGGGAGCCAAATGAGATGAACTGATACATTTAATAGTGGATATGACTCAAAACGGTGGGAAGCAATGCCATACCTGAGTCATTGTCACTGGTTTATGCAATAGTTTGTCATTTACACCATATTCAACCTGACATTTTGTTACTGATAGTCTTTCCTCATTACGGTATGTCCATTTGTGCCTGCCAGCTGTTTGAACTCTTGAAACTCATTTTTGTTCAGTTCATGCTGGTCTTTATTTTCTTTGTCCTTTTCCATCTATATATTTTATGTATTGCATTTAGCCCACTCTTATTTTTTTCAAATTAATTTTTTTTTCTGGTTCTTCCCTCTCTCACACTCTGTGGTTTGGGTTGGGTTTTTTTTTTTTTTTTTTTTTTTTTTTTTTTTTTTAAGATCTTTGAATTTTATTATTTGAAGCTTCTGGTGTTTAACAAGGTCTGTTTCAACCATCACTTACTCCTTTTTCTTTTACTAACTTCTGATGCCTTCAACACAGAATATTCAGGAAAAATTCGAAACAGTTATAGCCAATAATTGTTAAAAAAAAATTGCATAATATTGCTGGTAATGTCAAATATCAAAGTGAGGTGGAAGCATGTGATGCATCTCCATTCCACTTATGTGGGCCAACAGATATGGATGGACACAAGAGAAAGCCTCAACTCTCATGGAAACATATTTGTTGGGGATTGTAGGGAGGAGCAGTGAGAGGAGCAGCAGTTAAAAGACAACATGGGAAATGAAGCTTCTCAAGCTCTTCCCTCTAAGCCAAATTTTTGTGACAATTAAATCGATATTTCTTGCACATCTTTGAGAGGGAAAGATTTGGTAAAATGGAATCGATCAGCGTAGCCGTTGTTGCATTGGTTTGGAGAGTCCTTTAAAATATGGAAAAATACAGTTGTGGTTTTGCTACCTTGCTTCTGCAATGCACTTTTCCCCCTTTTTGTCACAGACATACCCCGGGCAGGTATATTATCTGTGTCTGACTAACTTCTCAATATCCCATTGAAGGGAACTCTGGGTGGTTTCTGCCAAAAGTTAAGAACTGGCTGATCATCATGGTTATTGCGAGATGTTTGTATGGGAAATAGGAAAAGAGATATGTAAAATGTTGAATTGTAAGTTGCAAAACCGTTGAAGTCAGACTCATCACCTGAGGCAAGCAGGGACTCAGGGCTAAATCAAACAATGCTGAGAGCAATGGACATCCAAGGACTTGGTCTACTACATGAACCAGACAAAGATATGAGAAAAAGGCCCCAGGAGAGGTCTCTGAAGAGAGGGCCCCCTCAGCTAAGAGACAATGGCCTGTAACTGCACAGGAGCAGAAGAACTGGCCATATGTTCTTATCTGTTACAGAAGAGAAACTCTGCCTTTCAGTGGTCTCATGAAAGGATCTCAGTTTTCTGAACTGGGCAAGCGCTGCATTGACTCACCAGAGAGTGAGAAATACCTTATTACACAAGAAAGTAACTTAATAGGTACAGGCTATGGATTGCATTTTAGAGTTCTCTTTTGCTTATAACCTTACATTTCCAAACTGGCATACTTGCTGCTGTTTGAATTTGTATCTCAAGCTCTGTTAAATGGACTTGTCAATAGTGAAACCAAATTGAAGTTTAAGTGCCTTGTGCTAAGGAGTGTGTCAAACTGAAGTGAAACCAGTGAACACTGAGGCAGCAGGTAAGGACACATGAATTGCAGATGTGCAGAAGACAGGGGACTGGGCACTCCAGTGATGTGTATAAACTACTAGCCTGCAGGAGGAAAGAGCAGGGCTCCCAGAGCATGGAGCAAAGCACCTATGTTGCCAGCAGCTAGTGGCTGGGGAGTGTTCCCCAGGGCTCTCTTCTGCTCTGAGCAGGTGGCTGGGAAATACCCTAGATGCCTTGGGTAACCCCAAAGAGTGTCAGATCTTTGCATTTCAAAATGTTGTGATCCCTGTGGAAATGCAATATTAGATTTGGGGCCTTCTGGTGCTGGTTATTCCAAGCCTGATTTAACCTCAGCTCACCATTGTGGATTGCAGTGTGCTAGAAGTTGAACCTCCCTGGTCAGGACCACAGATGTTGCTGGACCAGCCAGCCATTGGATCAGTGAGCCCCACTGGCTGTTGTCTGGGGGTCCAGAACAGAGGGAGGAGCAGTGGCAGCCTGCTGGTGGGCTGGGGCTGACAGCAGGGCTGACAGCCAGAGCCCTGATCTCCCCTGGCCTGACAAACTCCCTTGTTCGGGGATTGTGCCAGACCAGAGAGGTCCAACCTGTATCAACATTCATTTGTTTAATTATAAAAAAAAAAAAAAAAAAAACTGTTCAAAATGCCAACTCCTAGCCCAACCAACCTCTCTAGTTAGGGCCATCTACGGATCCCACTTACCGATGCCCCTCCACTTACAGACAAAGGGTAAACAAGTCTCTGATGAGCTTTTCAGCCTACAGTATCTCTCTCCGTTCAAATAACAAACGATCAAAACTTCATTGGGATTTCAGCACTCTTACTTTCTATTAGATAAAGAAACACAGCTGGACCAATATGAGTCCAATACACAGTAGGCATTTGGGGGGGGGTATAATTTTTTGATGGGGCTGCAAAGCTCATTTAATATTTCTGATTAGAATAAATATAACATTTGTCATGCAATCTGCTTGTAGTTCTTTTTTAATGAAGTGGTGGTCCCTCTAGAGAAATCTGCATCTGTTTGTTTTAATTCTTTCAATGGTTTGTTGGTTGGGCTATATATTAAAACCATTTAAAAATGCAGCTTCAGAGAGGTTTATGTTAAGCATGTTTGTTTTTTCAAATTAAATTCATCTCTGTCAGAGCTCTTAGAACCTGGAGAGGAGGGGGATTCTGTCAGGTGCAAGGAATTCTGGTACCTGTCTTTGGGAAAGAAACCTGATGCTGTTCTATCCATTACATATTAGGTCTACAGGTCACCACTCTCCCAAAACTTCTAGTTTAAAGCCAGAGTCATACAAATCTTAAGTATAATGTAACAGCAAAAGCTCCTTTTTATTTCTAAGTAAAGTTTACCTTGAGCACTAATGGAGGCTTGTGTTCAAATTCACCATCAGAGGAAGAACAACAACATACAACCACTTGTTTTTTGACAGATAGGTGTTCAGAGCCTAAAATACAGGAACAAAGGCAAGCAGAAAATATTTTCCCTTGAGACATATGGACATTCATCCTAGCCACTTGCACAGTGCACCTGCCCTGAGCTTTATTAGGTTGCACCTAACAGCAATTTGAAAATTGGCTGACTGTGTTAATTACATTTTTGGCCACTCTCCAATGCCTTGGTTGCCTGTTATTTTGGAATTCTTTTTAAAACATACCAGTATTACATATCCATCAATTAATTCCTTAAACACCATCTAGCATGATGCTCAAAATTCATTCAAAAAGAAAATCTGTTATTAAAAGGCATATCTGAAGTTAGCCATATTACTTAAATGATTGTGTAAGACTCACCATGCTGTGTAATTGAATGCAAAAAGTCTGAGCCAGCTCTTAAACAAATTACCCTTATGTGGCTTCTAGCATCTGGCACCCATTTTTACTACATGACATCTGCTCAGTGTAAAATAGCTGGCGTCAGAATGTCTGGTCATATAAAAAAATCACAAATGTAATCAGAAGCAAATGGACTAAGAACAAGGTTTTATCACATACTCTCATGCAACATAAATATTTCATTAATTATGTCTAAACAAATGTCAGTTTTATTTTTCTGTCTTAAGAATATTATCACATCATTGAACTGTTGATTAAAATGCCATAATAGGTCAGGAAAATCTATACATCACAACAATACACTCCGAGGGAAATTCAAAAGATATCATTGGAAAAAAACCATGCACTTAGGGATGCAAATTAAAGTATATTAAACTATAATGTTATTATGCCTATTTCACCAGAGTCTTGTTCTAGCCAGCTGTAAACATTTGAATTGGTTCTTCTCAATTTATTTGTCTAATTCATATCTTTATTCTCTTTGTTTGAGAAAATAAAACTGCTCCAGGAACATCTGTCTCTGCACTTCAACCTGCTGCAGAGTTAATGATTAACATCTGGACAGGGCTGCATCTTGGAAGTACACATAATTTAAAGTGATCAGCATTTTCCAGGTAACTCTTGATTTTCTATAATTCAGCATATGAATGCAAGTTTTACTTGGAATATGATTACTTTCCATTCCCCTCACTGTAAGTTTCCCTTCCTCTTCTCATTTGTTTAGCTGCAAATCTAAACCCTGCAGGAACAGAATTAATTTGTCTCAAAATTGATTTCAAAATTAAAGTCACTGAAATATGTTCATTCCAGAAAAATAACTAAATGATAGGAAGGGCCAAATTCTACTCCCAGTAAGGTCACGCTTACACTACTACTTTGGTTAGCAAAACATATAATCACAGAACACTAAAACTGGAAGGGACCCAAGAGGTCATCGAGTCCAGTCCGCTGCCCTCACAGAAGGACCAGGCTCCATTCTAGATCAGTGTTTCTCAACCAGTGGTATGAGTACCATTAGGGGTACTTGAGAGAAGTCTGGGGGGTACCTCAACACAACTGAAATTTGGAGAAAACTGAATTTTTGTTTTAAGTTTTATAACACTTTATTATTTTTGTACTTTTATACCCAAAAATGTCATCACCCGCCTGGCTACAATTAACTTGTTTAAACAAATGTGTTGCAATGGTAGAAAAAAACGGTGTGTCTGAAAACTGTAGGTATTGGGGGTACTTATATATTTTTTAAAGGAGTGCTTTAAGAAAAAAGTTGAGAAACACTGCATGAGAGTGCACTTTGACGTGCTGAATAAGGGCCCAATCCAAACCCGCTTCACGCAATCCAACTGACTTCAACCGGCTTTGGATCAGGCCCGAACTGCGAGGCATAGTATGTAGCAGAGGACTGTCATCACGCTGAGAGACGGAATGGCCACATCATTACTCTAGCTCAGCAATTCCCAGTGTGCTCTGCAGACTCAGGGCTTCCCTCCCGCCCCCGCCTCCAGCAGAAAGCCCACGCGGACGCTCCTGCCCTGCGCCCCTCCCCCTGTACAACATATTGCTCAAGGGTGCAAAAAAACAGGCCTCCCAGAGTGCTGTAATTTACACTGTCATAAGTGGTAGTGTGCAAAATGCCACTCCTACTGCTCATGGGTGTGTGTGTGTAATTATGTTGATGGGCGTGCTCTCTCTTGTGTGCATAGGACAGTCATACAAGAGCTTTTACATGGGTACAGCTCCATCAGTACAACGGCACTGCTGTAAGCTCACTAGTGGAGACCCAGCCTCGTTTACATCAACATTAATCATGTTGATTAATAACTGTTGGCTTCTCACCAAACCCCTAATCTCAGTAAAGTGTAATTGGGAGCAGAATTGGTCCTCATAAGATTTCCAGGAGCTACGCAGGTCAAGACAAGCAGTTACCCCTAAAAAAGAGAAGGAGCTGTCCAGAGCCCAGAAGTTGTTTCACTGTCAGCGTTCTGAAAGACACAAGACCACACCCCCAGCCTACCCAAGCTATCCCCTAAGCATGGAGCATCCCACTCCCCACCCTGTCTTTTGAGCTAGGAGAGGACTGGGTCCAAGTCAGAGAGGAGCTAATTGCACCAGCTGGAATAACCTGTTTGGGGCTGATCAGAATTGCCAGTTCTGATTGAAAGGTCCCCACCACCTGTCTGGAGCACTGCAGGGCCAGCCATGGATGGTCAAGCAGGTGTGGGCAAACTATGGCCCATGGGCCACATCTGGCCTGTTGGACCATTTAAACCAGCCCTCAAGCACCTGCCAGGGAGCATGGCCAGAAGCTTGCCTTGCTACCGTGCTCCAGCTGAGAAGCAGGGTCAAGGGCTTGTCTTGCCCTGCTCCACATGTGCAGTGGCTCCCAGATGCAGGAGCAAACAGGGGGCTCCACACAGTGCTCCCACCTCAAGTACCAGCTCTGTAGCTCCCATTGGCTGGGAAGCGCACCCCAACCACCTTTACCACCTCTGATCCCTTTCTTGCCTCTCAAACTCCTCCACCCTATCCTGGAGCACCCTTCTGTACCCCAAACTCCTACATTACAGACAGGTGGAAGTAAGTGGGTGCACCCTCGTGCACAGCTCCAACAAGATCTGGCTGAGCTGTGGCAAAAGCCAGCAATGAGCTATTGAAAGAGCTGGCAGGGACCCAGATTGCAATAGGACAGTACCCGTAAGAAATGTTAAATTCCTTTTACCTCTGACCTCAACCCCCAATTTTATGAGCATTTATGGTCCTCTATACAATTCCCATACTGAGATGTGGTTACTTTGCCAGCCCCAGTGTACAGCCATTGTGCCAGCTTTATGTTATTCACGGACATGCTCTAAGGCAGCGGCCAGAACGGGTAAAACGGAATCAATTCGGAGCTGGGATCTGATTCGCAGTCACATTTCTTCTGATGGTTTCACTTGATTTTGTTTTCTCTGTTATTTACCAAGTTTCTCCAGTAAATGGCTTCTAATCACACAGTCATGGAAATAAAATACAAAAAACAATTTTTTTTAAACTTTACAAGAGTTCCAGGTGGGGCTGGCAACACAATCACAACTGTTTTTTCTTGAGTTGGAATGAATTCTTGCTTTCCACTAGCCTCCTCTGAGTCACATCAATGATTTACAAAGATTACAAGTTCTAGAGGATAAAAAGCCTCCTGTGAGAGAAGAGCACCTGCCTCCTTCTCAAGGGACTCTGACTCAGGAGTTGGTTTTGGGATGAGGCAGAATCATTCACTTCCCAAAGGGTTTAGGACAAAGGCCATAACAAGAGGAAGAAGAAATCAGTGTCCTTAAGTAAATGGATTAATAGTATGGTCCTTACAATGTCTGTCACCGTATGTATTCTGGAATGTCTTGCATTCTGCTTGGAAAACCAAATTAAACTATCTGTACACAGTCCAGCCTTTCCAGGAATATTGTTAGAAGACACCAGGCAGCTAACTGATAACTCTCATTGGCCTTCATGTAAAAGTTCTTGATCGGGGCTTCTGAAGGCAGAAAAGTAGTTGGGCCAAAGAAGAATACTCAACACTAATTAGTGATGGTGATGTTGTAACATGTTATCCTGTGACAATAGAAAACTACAGAGCATTTCTATAGCTTCCCATAAATCTTAATGTACTTTATGGCATTTGTGAATATCCCCATTTTGCAAGAGGAGAAATGGGAAAGTCATCCTAGGTGCCTCCAAACGTGAGGGAGTAGACAGACACCACATTGGGGAGCAAAGAGCTAGGGAACAGCTCTGGGCCCTGGTGATTCCACCCAGCCACACTTACAAACCCTGCAAAAGCTGGAGGCCAACAGGTGTGCAGAGCAGTTCAGAACATACAGCAGAAGGGACAGTGGCTGCTCAGAGGGGGAAAATACAGCCCAGCAACCCATTGCCTGAGGACTCTACACAGACGTGTGGAAGCCCACCAAGCAGAGGCACATGGCTGAGCGTGGGGCAGGGTCTCCATTGAAATGATTTACTTTGGAAGCTAAAGGAGACTATGATATGAAGTGGTCCGGAATGTGGGAGGCAACAGCTTAGCACACCATGGTATTGGGCATCAGTGGTGTAGCCAGAAGGGACCCCTAGGTGGGGCGCTGACTTCAGGGTGGGTGGGCAAGAAGGGAGGATGGAGGGACAGGACAGGAGGGATGGGGCCATCTCTCCCCCAACCAGCTGTGTTGGGGGAATGGAAACTCTGGCTAGGGCACCGAAGGATGCACTCAGAGAGCGGGGCCTGCGTGCAGGGACCTGTCCTGTTCTGCTGCCTGCATGGCGCTCGAGCCCAGGAGAGGGATACACTCCAAGACTAGAGTGCCGCTAAGGTGCGCGCCTGAGTGACCATGCACAACAAATTTTTCCCCTCCCATCTCCTGTGGAGAGCCGCACAGTGAGGGAGTGTGGAGAGGGCATGATGAGGGAGCCACTGGCGTGGGGAGCCAGGACCTGCAGCAGCCTCATGGCAGGGAAGCTGCATGGCGGGACAGCGTGTCTGCTCCGGCGGCCAGGAATGGGACATGCCGCATGGCGGGTGTGTGTGTGTGTGTGTGTGTGTGTGTGTGAGGGAGAGGGGGATCTGCTCCGGCAGCTGGGAATG